CACCGCCAGACCAGCCGAGACCGCCACCTCCACAGTTGATCCACGACTTAGGTTCGGTAGCTGAAACTTGATCCGCAACAAAGTGCGTCATGGTCACGGACTCAATAGCCCATATGGTATCAATTGGAACGCCCTGGCGGACCTGCGCCATGAGATAGTTGATATTTAAGGAGGCTTCGCCGCCGCCCTCCGGTACCACAGCTAGATCGGAGATCTCTTGTCGACGCTTCGAATACTCCTCGTCTCGGCGTTGGCCCATAGCAATATTCTCCTTGGATCCAATGAATTGCTGTAGAGTCTCCTGAGAAGCGACGTAGTCGTTGATTTGCTTAAGCGCGGTGGAAGCGTCGGCGCGGAACGTCGCCATCGAGTGAATGTAGAAAACTGGAATCTGTTGCTTCAAAGGGTCGACATCAATGTGGATAATCTTGGCCGACGCAGACGGCTTGAACTGGGTAGGTACCCAAGGGACATCGCAGTCTACCACAAGGATTAAATCAGATGTCCCCACCGCCTCATGGCCCGGGTATCTCAATCCCAACCATCCAGCGTGGTTAGCGGGGAAGCACATGTCGCTACCACCAGTGTCCAGAACACGGATTCCCTTGAAGCTATCTGCCAATGCGACCAGCTCAGCCACTGCCTGGGATTTCCTCCCAGAATATCCAGCAATGATAAGAGGACTCTTAGCAGCTGCAAGCTCACATGCGATCAACTCAACGCCAGAGGTTGGTAGGGCAGCCGGTTCCACAGGACCCCAGACAGCCTGGTTTAGCTGATACGGCTCGATATCCTCCTCCATGACCTCTCGCGCTCCGGCGAGGTAAACAGGGCCCTGTGGGTCACTAGTTGCGAATTGCAAAGCCCGGTTGACAATTTGCTTGACATTCTTGCCCGACTTGATCTCACCAGTGTACCGGCAGTACTGGGAGACGATTTGCTTCTGATCCGGCACGTCTTGGATCCAGTGGATATATTCTGTCCGCGAGCCTCGCATCTCGCCCTCGATTGTGTAAGGCGATAGACCGGCAAAGATTAAAACCGGGGCGCGCCCGCAAGAGGCGTTGTGGACTGCTGCCCCAAGTCCCTGCGTGCCGACGTCGACATGGACAATTACAGCTTGGGGCTTTCCAGTCAACCGGGCGTAGCCATCAGCCATTGACAGTGCCACCATCTAACCAACATATTGCATCGTCAGCGAGGCTCTTATTCATACCACCGACTCTAACCGAAGTGCTGCGGCGAAGGTTGGTGGGTCCCATGATGCAATTGTTACCGTACCTCATTGGGACAAGTGATGATTGTAGGGAATTGGTCTTTCTTTTCTTTCTGGCCTTTCACCATCGCCTCGAGGATAGACGGGTGGTCTGATCCCAAATTGACAAAGACATGGCTGACGCCGCCCTGAAGTTGTAAAGGGTTAGCGTTGGGATAGTTGCGGAATAAATCTGCTACTAGTACATAGTACATACCTCCCAGAGGGCTTCGAAGAAAGCGAAAGATGCTGTATAAACCCTTGTATTTTGTGAGTAGAAAGGACATTTGAATGTCTGCATGGGGGAATTGCGTACATAGCTGAGCTCTATGGCACTATGAAAGGTCGGATAGCAAAAAGGACGTGTTTCCGGTCTCTGAATATCGATATCTGAAGAGCAAAACAAAGAAGAGAGGGGGAACAGGTTGGTAATAAAGCTCAAGATCCGGGGAAGCCTTGAATTGGGATCTCGGCCACAACTCCGAGAGCGGGGGGACCAAAGGGACACCGACTACGTCTGAAGAATTCAACACCTATATTTCTCGGTTATGAATATTTTGAAAGGATTATCTCCGAATTTATTGAAAAGTTCCTCTCTTTATATTTGAGCTAATAACTGCGGTCGATGGGGGGGCTTGCGCCGGGAACTAGTCTCCGAACTATATAGGTCTCACATTCAGTCTAGCTCCTACAGAAGTAAACAAAGGCTCTCTCCTGGACACAACATACCTCCGAATATATAAAATGTCCTTGAAGAAGGTTTAGCTAGTAGAGCGAGAGGAGTGAGCTTAATCCATGTACTAGCGAGGGTCCTTCAGCGGATGGCAGACACCTCTTCGTGGTAGATGTACTCTGATTGTTCGGAGGAAGCCAAGTTTTGCCCGAACTCTTTGCTCTAGTATCAAGAATGATTTCTCGTAGCTCGTGCTGTTTGTGATTTACGACATGGGTGGTAGCCACCTGATGTGGGCGCACATAGGTTCTGATTGTTGCCACTTGATCGAGCAGAAGGGTGCCAGTTGAAGGCGCTCTCCAGGTATCAGTTCTAGTAGTTGTAATCCTGATTCTCTTAAGACTAAGCTGTGTCCTGATAAAATTAGCCTTCGAGTTCTATCTTGAGCCTAGATTAGACTATGGGAATTGTAACCTTTGGGATTTGGTAGATTTTAAGCACCGTCATAATTGAACAAACTTGAGCAACAGTATATGATCTCCCTTATAAATGGCTCCAATTTCAACATTCCAGAGATAAAATGGTGTGAAGGCCAAACATTTCCATTGGTATCAGTCACTCACGTTTGGGGATTCAGGACAAGATGATCATACTGGCCTTCGATCGACTCAGGCCCGTTTGCTTCGTCTGACGCATTTGACCGGCATCAGAGGCACCAATGACTGGCTTGTTGGGTTATTCCAAAAACTGCTAACCTCAATCCCCACAGGCCATGTCTTCCTTGTGTCTCACTGTACGCGTCCCGTCTTCTTGTTCATGCTGTCGTTTCGTTGCTCTATTCACAGCAATATCAGCGCCATCTTTGATATCCGAAGCATTGCGATAGTGTCGATTTGCTGGAAGTAATAGCTCGGCCACAAGACGCTGCTGAAAAGTGTCAAAAGGCTCTGCTGAAAAGTGTCAAAAGGCTCGAAAGGGATCCTTTTCTGCGTGATGATCGGCCAGTTCGTATCGGCCGTGGCGGGTTTTCGGATTTTCAATCGCACCCAGTAGCTCCGATGTAAATTGAGCCTCGTAAAGATAGATAGATAAACGCACAGCCTGGCCACTTTCGCCACGAGAAGACGCGACTGCAATCAATATTAGGCTCTACATTTCTTCGTGTTTAGAGAGACGTACCGTGTGCGTTGTTTGCTCTGTAGTTGTGAGGGAGCGTTCTTGCAGTCGGACAATAGACAGCAAGATACAAACGAAGTAAGGGTCCTCCTCCCAATTAGCTGGGGTTATTTGGGCCAACCGCTTTTCATAGAGCCGCCTGACAGGCGCGTTATTGCCACTACCGGGATGGATTTTAGCCTGAAATTTATTTTGCGACCAGAGGTGGCGGAGGTGTAGTCAAAGTAGCCTATCAAAATTTGAGAAGCATCGTCGAGAGGTCGGTTGGTTTGTTTGCGATGACCAAACAGGACATATTTTGGTCGATGGATCGCTTGGCTTGCGAAGTAGAATTTAGGTCCTCTTTTGCTAATCATGAATATAGTTAGGTCATAATGCCTGATCTAGCTACCCGTGGACAGATGCAATTGATTACCAACGCTCTTCAAAAGCGCTCCCCTCATACTCCAGAATCCGGTACAGGGCGGAGAGCTTCACGAGGGGCGCGCAGTTCTTTGCAAGTCGTTCAGGGTCCGATGGAGGCGGTGGTGGGACAGGAACGAGATGGTAACCGAAATCAGACCGCTCATGTGTCTTATCGTTGTTTTGAGCTTGACGCATATCGTCATTGTCCTGAGTGTACTCCGTCGACTTAATCGGCTTGAAGCCACATCCTACCAGATCTAAATGACGGGAAGTCCACAGCAATGGGTCCACAAACAGATCTCGGTGATATCGCATGAGATAGGCGAGTGGTTGGGGCTTCAAACCGTGTTGCATTTTGGGGTGTGGGTTTGTTATGGTAGGATGCGACACGTCCACCATCTATCGGTTTCTGCCGAATACGTGCTAACCGCCATTAATACAATCCAACAGGTACGGCTTTTCGCCGTCACTGTGATATATACCTTTACAATATAGGACAGAGCACTGCTTATAGATGCTACACAGCACTACATATGCTTCCTTGGTTTTGGGATCAGTTATGATTATCTCCTTGATTTTGAATCAGATGCGCCTACTTGTTTCTTGCATGTTAACTCAACGCCCTGCTTTGACCTCAGCTCTAAAAGCTGCAGAGAGCGGATGGCCATGAGGCTGTGTGGTATCATGCGCTGGGGCTAGAGGTGATATCTGGAACACGAGGCTATGACTACAAAATGGTTTGGAGCGATTTTGAAGTTGTGAGAGCATAGTAAATTGGAATGCTAAATCGGGTCATGATACGGAGTACAGGGGACCTTTACACAAACAGTGACGGAGGTGAGGAAATAGAGATTTTGCTTATGTATAGCAATGATTATTGATTGATTTAGTTAAAGATTTAACGCATTTATAAGCCATATAGCCCTCCAGGGCTGGCCTGGCGGGCTTGCAAAGTTCAGCACCCCTCCTGTCACCCTTCTCACCCATCTGGCCAATCCACATAGTTAATCCGACTTTACCACCGGCACGGACCTCGAAAGTCCAGCTGTATTTTCATCTGTAATACGGCATCCCCGGGAAGGTTTGCGGCTGTACCACCCGTTCGCTTCCCAGGTTATATTTTCATGCTGATCATAAGGCTAACCATGCGGGGCTGACGTAGCTGGGGCCGTCCAGGTTCGTGCCCAGGTGATTATTGGCTTGGCGAAAGGCTATGCTAAGCTGATCCCGTGAAGATTCTCTCAACCCTTGCACGAGCTGAAGAGAACACGAGCAATGGGCCGCCTGGGCTGCAAAACGTGGTGCAGAGGCTCGTATACTAGCGGGAGGCTTCGTGCAGGTAGTAAAAAAACAGATGATTCGATGCGATATCGAGATGAACCCTCCAAGACTATCCGTGCGAGAACACTAATAAGAGGGAGAGTCGTGTGCACCTATTATGCTTGATTTAAATCTTTCCCATAGCACATTAAACTCCATTGTACATACAAAATGTCTCTATGCTCCGAGGTCCATGAGCCACCATACAGAGTCCAACAGAGAGGGGACTCAAAGGCCCACCCCAGCCGCAAGCGCATTATCATCTGCTGCGACGGAACATGGCAATCCGCCGTCTCAGGCAAGAAAAACGTCCCATCTAATGTGACGCGACTCTGTCGCGCTCTGAACAGTGTCGGAACCGACGAACACGGGAATCAATGGCAACAAGTAGTCTGGTATGATTCCGGAATTGGTACAACCTCGGGTCCGTTGGGACAAAGGATCGAAGGCGCCATTGGCCTAGGCCTGGAAGGAAATGTCCTCGAAGCGTATAACTTCTGTGTCCTGAATTACAAACCCGGCGATCAGATTATGTGTTTTGGTTTCTCGAGGGGCGCATTCACGGCCCGCGCCATTGCTGGTTTGATCTCGGATATTGGCATTTGCAGTAAACATGATCTGAACCGATTTCCTGATCTCTGGGAGGTGTATAAGAAAAATACGCCCGGAGAGCGCTTCTATTGCAGTGACCTCTGGTTCGAGTGGATGGATGGAAAGGCGGATGAGAATCAGGGCGCTCGAGGCGAGACTTTCGTATTTGAAAAGCGTCCCGAGGGCGACTGGGCTCAGGAGGGGTCAAGGGATGTGGAAGTTGTTGGCGTTTATGATACCGTCAGCGCTATTGGAATGCCGGAGGTGCTGGGAATGAAGCTTCCATCGTGGCTCTCGTGGTGGTCGCGTAAGGGTGGGTGCGAAAATGTTGGACTTTCACCTAGTAAGTATCCTAAGACCTCTTTTTTTGTTCTTGCCTCAGCATGATTTCATGGTGGGTGCAATACTGACAGAGGTCAGATGTCAAACATGCATTCCAGGCTTTGGCCCTCGATGAACACCGCAACGCCTTTTCTCCTACTCTATGGTACCTCCAAAAACTTGGAAATGTCACTTCAGAGCAGATACAAATCCAGAAAAGCGTGGTCGATCAGAAAGCTCAAAAGTGGGACGACATCTTGCAAGATGCAATCCGCCTCAAGGATAGCGGCAACGCTAGCGATGAGGACGTCAACAAGGCAGCCCGGAAACTAAACGAGACCGCCAGAGCTTTGAACCAGGAGGCCCGAAAGCTCCTAAAGTTGGAAGACGACTACAAACACCAGAACAACCCCCGAACATTGACACAGGTGTGGTTCCCTGGTTATCATATCAACATTGGCGGAGGCTCGGGTGAAACCCTCAAAGGTGAGGGTGATATGGAAGAAATGTCTAATATCACCTTCTCCTGGATGCTGGACCAGATCAAACCCTACTTGTCATTTAACGAGGGGTCTCTCCAAGAGGAAAGAGAAGAGAGAGAATACTACATTTCAACGCTTGTGGAAGACACAGCCCGTGAGTCCTTAGGAGGTTGGGCTCGGCGCAAGCTTGCAGCAATAGCCTCGGCTTTCAAACTCAAACAACCCTCCACGTCTCCTGTGGAGTCTGTGAACAAGCGACGCAGCTATGGCTGGGGAACAGGCGCGCTAGAAGACAGCTTTACAGCATTTTACTACCTCAACGGGTCGGAGAGGCGCAGGCCTGGAAACAATGATCCTTTCGACAAAGATGGAAATCTGCTAGGAGAGACTTTTGAGTTTGTTCATCCAGTGGTGGGATTTAGGGCGAAGCAGATCAAGGACTACAAGCCGATTGGGCGTGATGTTAAATTTTGTCGCCGGAAAGTGGTTGACAGGAATGGCCGCCCTGCTTACGTCTATGATCTGGGGGATGCTCGCAAGCCTGTGCCCGAGTGGCGCTTAGGAGGAGTTGACTCTTATGAGAGGCTTGCCATCACCAGCAAGGCCGCATATGATTATGTCGACGAACTAGATCTAGATTTGAAGACTGGGATCAAGACACCCCGCCGGTCTGTCTGCGGAGTCCAAGATGTTGACCTCGGCATTGAAGTCCCCAACGCTGGGGGCTTGCAACAGGAGGATTTCAAATCGGAGCAATCTCAACAGGGAAGTCTCCAATCGACGGGCTTTGGAACTAAGGAGATGCTATTGAGGAGCTCAGATGTTTCCTACACCGCGGAGGCAGTAACTCCTATATGATTGTCTTTTCTTTAAGAACGTCTGAGTTGAAACGATCATGCCCTGAGTGAAATGCATTGGCAGGTATATATACGTGCATGGCAGCGAAGGCTGGTAAGTCTTTGGGACATGAGTTTATGTACAGCTTTTCCCTTCGTGCAATGCTTTATTTAATCTCTTTAATGATAATTACACTAGCCAAGCAGCCCTTTGAAGTCCTGGCAATTCTTATGCATTTGGTGTCTGAATGGTGTTTTGACATTGCTTGAGCATACCTAAGATAGAAACACGGCAAGGAGCTGTTGCAAGATCTGTACCTTCGCGGCCCCGTCAATTCGTCCAATCTGATTTAAGTGCGGCAGGAACGGGAAGTCGTCCTAACGGCTCGTAGGTTACATAGCCCTTGACACCTTCCTGCCATTGGTAGATAGGTGAATGCATTATGTGGAAATTGATTCCTTTCGCGAGGACATGAGTATGACAATTGAGAGAGCATTGAGAACGTTCTTTTTAGACAACACAAAAGTTTTGCTGTCCTACGAGGCACATCTATAGGTGCAGAGGCTGTGACGCTGACAAGTGACCGTCCGTGTGCGTATAACAAGGAGGTGATAGGAGCTAATGATCCGATTGAAGAGTAATGCAAAACAAATCTTGGAACCTTGGAACTAGCTATGACTTTCATACAACCTAGCCAATCACGGGTGCAATGCATGGAAATCACCATCGCTTCATTTCATTTCGTTTCTATGCACACACTACACAACGGCACGCACTACATGAGAGGCTTGCGGCGAGGTATTAAAGTCCCATTTACATTAAACTAAATCCCAAGATTCCTTTCATATACATACATCTCGAACCTATGGAATCTCTATCCGCTCGACAAGACGACATTACCAACAAGATCCACAACAAGGTCTTCTTACTGAAAAGGCCGGCCTTACTAATCGTGACCAAAAGAAGTTGAAGAACCATCGTCTTTCCTTCGTTTGGGTTGAGCCTCAGCCCTCTTCGGAAAGTTCCGTTACGACATGGCGCAAGTCTTGCGCTCGTCGAGCATACGCGAAAATCCAAGATGTCAGTAATCACTTGTTTAGCTATGGCGATCGAAGTCCGACCAACGGAGTGCGGCCGGACCAGCTTTCAAGCAATATTGGATTACATTCTTCAGCTGGAGCATTATGAACATTACACTTTCAGTCTCGGGCTCACAGCGCAAAGGTCCTTCGACTCGACAGCAGCAGAGCATGGATTTGCTGGAAATTGTCGTTACCTTGGTTTCATCAAGTCGCTCTTCACTAAGCGAGAAAAAAGACGTAAGAAGGTTACTCATGGTTTGCACGGCGCTGCTGAACAGAAAATCCACAGAAATCAGATTTGCCTACTCGCTAGTTGGTCGCAATGTCCTGATGCAAGCTATTCGAAATTTCAGCTTGACCCAGCTTAACCTTGAGTGAACATAAGTTTGCAACCCAAAACTTCGATACTGTGGTTTGGAGGAACAAGGAACGTTCTTGGGCCAGCGGTGTAAATCCTTCTTCCCCTCCCACAACCCTTACAAATCCAGGGTGGTGGTCGGTTTTCGCCAGAAATGTAATCCATTTTTCTATGTCCTCACCCTTGAACAAGCCATCAGCTGGCTTCCGAACATTGTATACAGTCTGTTTTGAGCAGGAGTTAGTATTGTCGCCATTTCCATATGGGCGACGGATCTCACTGGTCCTTCAGGGTCCATTTTGTCCGTAGTCCTTTCGGTGACTCTTTCGACAGCTCCTTCTCGGCCATTCTATGTTGCTGGTCGTTACGATTCGAGTTATGACAGAGGCCAGTCAAATAATGTAGTTGCGAAATATGTTCAGCTTTGGCCCTGAGTATGTTGCGATCCGTCCGTGTGAAGTGATAGGGTGCCTGTAGACGATCTTTTGTCAGATACGGTAGGCATTGGTGAAGTGATGAAGAAAAAAGGCGGAGCTTCAACGAAATCCCTAACGCTCAGGTGACACGAGCCCTGGGGACGGTCTGATTTGTTGCTATAGATACCTATATGTATGTACCTGATGTAGGTAATGTTGCATATGTAGCTACCTAGGTACATACATATGTAGCATGTACATGTAGGTAGGTAGGGTTATGCATAATTACTTTGCCTCCATGGGTCAGATACTAGGATCTGAGATCCATCGATTTTAGCGGCATTCCTTCGCTTTGTTTTCATTAACTCGAAACATATGGACCAGTCAATGCTGGAAAATCCAAGTGGAGGCGGAAAGATACCCTTGACAGAATAGATAAAGTCCATTGAAGGGAGCTTGCGCATGAGAACAATCATGTAGCGTCATAATATCCAATCCAATGGCTCCAGAACACTGTCAATCCACAAACACCAGTCATCATCCCATCTTAAAGCGCAAACCGCCATGCAATATTCCCAATACGCTGGATACCACCCAGCCTTTTCCCAATCAATGATCACAATGGAAGGAGCTTCATTGCCTGCATGACCTTCATCGCAGATGATTATGTTCTTTCGTTGCAAATCGCCGTGAGTGAAGGTCGGCTCATGGTCCTTGAAAATGAGGGGAAATCAATGGCGAAAATATTCCGCTCTAAAGCGTGGGCCTCCGTTGTAGACGTACTTTCGCATCATCGCTTCGTTGAGATCCTCCTCAGAATCGAAAGGGCCATTCACCAAAGAGTCAGGTTCAGTGTCCAAAAGATCTCGTCCAGAAGATGCCTTTTGCCGAAACTGCCGAAGTACACTGGAGATGGAAGCCAACGTAACTCATCTAAGCACCTCTGCAATGCGCTTTATATACTCCTTTTCTCCGAAGGTGCAAGATCCGCCCAAGCTGAAGAAGTGTCTATCCGATAGTACGCTCCATGACGATGAAATTTTTGTCAGATTCTTGGTTCGTGTAGAGAGCGTAGACCCGTGGAACGCGAATGTTCATACTCTCCCGAACAAATAACATGTTTTCTCCCTCAATGAGATTGACCCCTACCCCAAATTTTACAACGAAATGCTGGCCCACTGCAACGATTCTTCGCCCTCCATGTTCCAAGGAAATATCCGGAGCATTCTCGACTTCGTCATCAGTGGGTAGAGGACAGGGCAAGTCAATTGCGTGGAAAGGTATTTGAAAGAAATTCCTCATTGTCGCTCGATATTGATCGTGCAGAGAGTCGACGGGTTGGAGCAGTTGGCACTGAACAGAACTGTCGGCGCCGCTCCATTTATAAGAAAAGTAATGATCGCCATCGCGTGCACGGGTATATTCAATGTCTACCATCATCCCATCACCAGACCAATCTCATTTAAATGCTGCCAGTATTCGGGTGGATGCCACCCAGTGAGAAATGGGTGAGAATCACCCCAAGTCGTGCGACTGCACTAACCCCTGCGGCTGACTCTCTTGGCATCCGCACATCTTCGGCCCAACGCACGGCCCAACTCCTGTTGGAAGCCTACTACAGTCTCACCACGTCGCGTTATTCCTAGTTTTACCAAATCTCTTAACAGACTGTGGATAGTTGACAGGAACAGTACCTCATAATTTTGGTTACTCGATGCCCTGTACCAAACAGGTGGACTTGAGTTTTCATCACTACGCTCCGTTTTGATGTTAGGCGGCTTTAGCTATGGATCCCCTGAGCATCACCACCAGCGTTATCGCCCTCCTACAGGTTTCACGCAAAGTCATTGACCTTATTTCAACCATAATCTCCGCGTCAGCTGAAATACGCTGTCTCACAGTTGAGATCAGTACCACTCGCGCTCTTCTTTCAAGCATCTCCGATATTGCCGCTGTAGATGAAACATGGAACAAGAATTTACGGCAATTGATGACCGAGGATGGTCCTATGCAAATGCTAGATACACTTTTATCAAAGTTGGATCACCGTTTGAGCCGTGAAGTGGGAATAAAGGGTGAGGTAGGGCGGCTGAGAAAGAAGCTAACGTGGCCCTGGCGAGCTGATGACACGCGGGAAATGATAAGGGTCGCAAGGGAGGCTAGAGGGTTGCTCGCTGGAGCTCTGGCCGTGGACCATTTGTAAGTACTTTTTCTTGATACCTATGTAGATATCCTTCAGTCTTCTTATTCCTGATTACGCCCGACTGTCTCAGTCGACCCTTAGTGATACCTGATTTTTCTTTGAACTTTTCTGAAGCGTCTATAATTCAGGAGCATTTCGAAGGAAATTCGACAAGAGACCAAACAGATCCGCGAATATTCTCAGAAGACATTGTCCAGACAGGATGGTTCGTCAATTGTTGACTGGCACGATCAAGATTCTTAATCTAACCCAACTAGTAACCGAGCAACGGATGGTGTTCGAATGGCTGTCGACCGTCGATGCTGCTGAGTGCCACCATACTGCCCGCGCCAAACATGAGCGGGGGACTGGCGACTGGCTGCTTGACTCAGAAGACTTTGGTCTTTGGTTGACTGGTACGAGGGAGGTTATTTGGTTGTATGGAATCCCAGGCTCAGGAAAGACAGGTATGCCGTTCCATTGCGACGGGCGATCCTAAAAATGGCGCTGACGCTTTCAGTGCATTGTTCAACGGTCATAGAGCACGTCCAAAGGATCTGCAAAAACGATGAAAAGCCAGAGTCTTTCTGTATCTATTATTACTTTGACTTCAAAGACCGGAGACGGCAGACCTTCGATGGCTTTATCAGGTCAGCCCTTGCTCAAATTTGCCAACAAAGCACGGTATTTCCGCAAGAGGTGTTGAATCTGTATGCAGACAAAAGTAAAAAGGGCCAAGATCCAAACCCGGCGACTCTTGTTGAGGCACTCTTAACACTTTTGAAACGACCTGGAAAGAAATATATTATCCTTGACGCTTTGGACGAATGCCTAGCACAGACAGAGATATTCGACCTAATTTTGAGGATCAAGGAGGGCTCCGCATGGTCAGCCAATATCATGGTTACCAGTCGCATGGAACGGCAGATCCAGACTGGGCTGCAGTATCTGGTTACTCGGGCGATTCCTCTTCGTGGGCCACAAGTGGATCATGATATCCAGACGTTAGTCCGCCATGTTCTCGCATCAGATCCCTTGTTGAGCAACCGCCCAATCCACATGAAGAAAGAGATCGAACATGCCATTTCGAGTGGAGCCAGTGGAATGTACGTCCCAGAGAACTTATGTGAACCTTCCCTATCTCCCATTATTGATGACGGTTAGTGCAGGTTCCGACTGGCAGCATGTCAACTTGATGCCTTACGTTCATGTTTGTCTCCCTCAGCCGTGCGGAGAACGCTACGGTGTCTTCCTAAAACACTGGATGAGATATACGAGCGTATTCTTTGCGGAATAGATGAAGAGGCCCGCTCTATCGCTTTCACAGCGTTGCAGTTTCTAGTGATCTCGTCGCGTCCTGTCAACTTAGATGAGCTATCTGAAATGGTGGCCATCAAACCTGGAGTCAGTATTCTCGTCGAAATTGATAGACTCTTTGACCCTACGGATGTGCTGGCTGTATGTTCAAGTCTCGTCACCACCTCCAGAGTATCTTGGGTTCAATTGTCGCACTACTCTGTTCGGGAATGCTTGACATCGGAGCGGATCTGCCAAGGGCCAGCCAGTTACTTTGCCATAAAAGAGCCTGAAGCACACCTAGCAATCGCACAACGTTGCTTGACATACCTGCTATCATTTGATCAGTCAGTTATATTAGACAACTTCCACCAATCCACATATGCCTTGCCCTCATTGGATGAGCACACGAGATACCCCCTACTAGAGTACGCCGCGTTTGAATGGCATACTCATGTGCGGCTCCTCCCTTCCGAATACCAGAAACAGGCTGAATCAATGATTCTTCGTCTTTTGGATCAAGATAATCTCGCTTTTCACCGTTGGCTATCTATCTATCGCTCCGGTGAAGATGAAAACTGTCCCGGAAGTCCATTATATTATGCCGCGGAGTTGGGATTATCATCCATGGTATGCACGATTCTTGACGCAGGTGGAGATGTTAACTCTACCGGCGGCATGTTCGGATCAGCGCTTGCAGGTGCCGCTCTAGAGGGGCATACAGAGATCGTTCGCATCTTGTTAGAGCATGGCGCAGATGTCAATATTCGGGGCGGCTTCTTCCATACGCCTCTACAGGCTGCTTGTGTGAACGAAAGACTTGATGTGCTCAATCTGCTACTTGATTACGGCGCAGATATTAATATCATTGGGGGATACTATGGCTGTGCTCTCCAAGCAGCTGCCGCGAGAGGATGGCCAGCAGGCGCCCTACGCCTCATCAAATCAGGCGGAGACATTACCATAGTGGCAGGGCAATTCGGCACAGGCCTACAGGCTGCATCGCGGTATGGCCATGAAGAACTTGTCATGGAGCTTTTGGCAAGAGGTGCGGACCCGAATGCTGCCGGTGGCTACTACAACACTGCCCTCCAAGCAGCTGCGCGGGGTGGACATATTGGAATTATTCGCATGTTGTTGGAACATGGTGCAGATGTGCATATGGAGGGTGGATTCTGCGGCAGTGCTCTACGTGCTGCCCAATCTCGACAAAACCACGCCGCCGTCGACATTATTGAAGCCCAACTCCGGTCGAGTGGCTCGGATGGATCTTCAGTGCAAAGGTTGAAAAGGCTGTCCGAAGAAACTGGAGAGGATTGTGAAGAGAGTGTCCTGTAGAATCTAAGAATTGTTTTTTCGCTGACTACCTCATTACCTTGGCTCCTTGTCATTACGGGCCGTCGTCGAGTGCGACCGTGTCATTCCAGGAAATGCACCGAGGACTTCCACAACATGGCCCTGCACCGCATATTGTCAAAATTATAAATTTCCATCGTCTCCCAGTTCTACAGCAGAACTACATATGTACCATAAGAGTAGGCCAAACCTCTGCTAAAACACTCATTCCTGCATAAATGTCTCGCCCATACGACCAACCAATAGTCGACATAGTGAACTATGTCTACCACCACTCCCTTAACCAAGACGACGAAGCGACTTGGAAATGCGCGCGGACAGCCCTGCTGGACGCAATGGGCTGTGCGATCGAGACAGCAGCGACGAGCACTGAATGCCGAAAGCTGCTCGGTCCCGTGATCGAGGGCACAGTAGTGCCGGATGGATTCAGAGTCCCAGGAACGGAGTTGCAGGTCGATCCCGTGAAGGGGGCTTTCGACCTTGGTGTCCTGATTCGGTACTTGGATCATAATGATGCGCTTGGTGGTGCGGAGTGGGGACATCCTTCAGGTACGGGTTGTTGAAGACATGGGGCTGGGAATTGTGCTTGTGAGGCTAATATATGTGTTGTACTGCAGATAATCTCGGTGCTATACTCCCAGTCATGGATTGGCTGTCGCGAGAAAGTTTGTCTGGCCGACGGGTTCACGATGGCCCGCCGTTGACGATGCAGACGCTGCTCATCGCGCTGGTTAAGGCGTACGAGATACAGGGGTGTTATCAAATGCGGAACGCCTTTAATGCATACGGAATCGACCATGTGGTGCTGGTCAAATTGGCCTCTACTGCTGTTGTGTGTTGGTTGCTTGGGATGACAGATGAACAAGCCATGGCGACTATTTCCCATGTCTGGATGGATGGCCATCCGAACCGGGTGTACCGGTCCGGTGCAAATACTATCCCGAGGAAAGGGTGGGCAGCGGGCGATGCGGCGAGAAGAGCTGTGCAGTTGGCTCTGCTGGTGCAGGACGGCCAGCCTGGTGCGCCGGGGGCGTTGACCGCGCAGCCATGGGGGTTTTGGGAGCGCACTTTTGGCGAGGCGGGATTTCTACTTCCACGACCTTTTGGATCGTGGACGGTACAGAATGTGCTCTTTAAAAGTATGCCGGTAGAAGGGCATGCGATCTCGGCCGTGGAGGCGGCCATTTTGCAAGGGCGTCGATTTCGACAAAGGGGCCTGTCCGATCCTCTCAAACAGATCCAGCGAATAGATCTGCGAACGACTGCTGCTGCCTTTTTAATCGTCAACAAACACGGGCCGCTGCACAACGCTGCTGATCGTGACCACTGCATTCAGTATGTGGTCGCCTTGGCTTTCTTGAAGGGTAGTCCGCCAGAGGCTGCGGACTATTTAGACAAGAGCCCATGGGCGAATAGTGAGGAACTTGCAGCCCTGCGAGAAAGGATCGTGGTGCAGTCCGATCCTAGACTCACGGAGGACTACTTGGACCTGGACAAGAAGAGTATTGGTGCAGGAATGACGGTCCATCTCGCAGATGGGTCCTCGTTGCCTCAAATACTGATTGAGTATCCCGTCGGACATGCACGGAATCCCAAAACACCAGCTGCCGTACAAGAGAAGTTCTTCCAAAACATGGGGCTTATGTTCTCTGCAACAGAGATCAGTCGGATATTGGGTGCTGTTCAAAATCCAGATACTCTGATCTCGGATTTCATAGATCTGTTTGTCCAGCCGCCGGCCAAAGCAAGGTTTTAGGAGGCAAAGCTATCTGCAGGTATCATGAGTTGGTTGTGCTAGAAAAAGGGTGATCTTGTTCAGGGTATCTAGTGCTGTCGTTCCTTTTCCTCTCAATCGATTCTCCCAACTCCCTGCAGCGTCAAATAAACATCTGTCCCCCATCCCCACAGACTTTGCACCGCAATGCTGCCACCGAAGTACTCAGCGTAGGCTCGACTGAGAGGTAGTCCATAACCAAGACCTGCAATGCTGCTGAGATGGCCACCGCTAGCAGAGATGGTGTTCAAGGCATCCATGTTGCCATTCTCCGAGCCCTGGAAGTCCATATCGGAGAAAGTCGTGAAGCTATACGACCAGATGTGTGGCAGAACCTCAGGCGGAATACCACCACCACGGTCACGGATGCGGATTGTGATACTCTGAGAGGACGGAGCCGAGTACCCAATGGTTTCATTCCCATTGGCGCTCGAAAGCTCTGAATCAAGTTCAAAGCCAGTATCGGCATCACCCAGGACCGACGGTTCATTTCCGGGTACATCTGGAGCAGCAGCGATCGTCACCTCGATGGGCTCACGCTCATTTCCATTTTCAATAGTTGCCCGGAATGCGTTCTTCAACAGCTCCGTGATAATGTACTCCATGTGTACAGGTACGTGAGCGAAGGAGGCCTCGGGCTCACCTCCAATCTTCAAACGCGGTCGCACTCCGTATTTGAGTTCACAGATTTCTCCAACGAAATCCTCGCATAGCCGGATGATGCGTGCCGGCTGCAAAGCCATATCAATGACGCCTATATAGTTCGATGGAATGGAGTTCTTGGGCGCAGGTTCATCGGCCCCATCGAATGGTTTATCGCTGATGGGCTGAGAGGCATAATGAAGAGCTAGATGCTGCTCCGCAATCAAGCGCGTGCCGATACGCGCACGTAGATGCGTGTCCAAGAAGCTCGTCACGTCGGCAGGGCTGACATATTTCCTGCACTCCAGAAACCCGCGTGCGAGGACGGGGATTGTATTTGTATGCGTATGTACGAGGTCTGCCAGTACATCCCCGAACTGTTTCTCTTCTTCGAGAGTCGTGATGCGGCGCTGTTGATATGGGAGGAGGGTCGACAGCGAATGGAGGTAATTGTGGTAGATTTTAGAGACATGAGGGTTTGAGACGACGATGAAAGGGAGGTTTCGTAACGCTTGAATCCGAGAAGCTAGTCGGGCGGGGAGGAGGGAGAGTGTGAAGTTGGCAGAGGCTAGTAGAGCCTCTTTGTTCAATGGCGGGCGGCCGTGTCTGAGGGACGGACATCAATTTAGCACATTTTGATTCGGTTTTGGTGTAAGTTATATATCTGAGACTAACTTTAGTAGGTCCGCAAGTGTCAAAGGCCGACGGGGACTCGCAGCCAGCTGCGCAACATTGTCTTTGGCGACATCAAACGGGTGACCAGCCCAGTTTTGACTCTGCGAGGAACATTGACGGAAAATGCGAGGTCGCGCAATTGGAAGGGCCAGGCAGCTAGGCCGAAAAGGCATCGCTCTAGGTATTGAGGTTGTCATTGTGAACTGTAGCGCTACATCAAACGGAGAGAGATAAGCGGGAGTTCACAGTGAAACCCCCGGGGCGGAAGATCTGCATCGGCGGTGCGGATATCATCGGTCCAACGTTGTAGATCAAAATCCAAGGATTTTAGGATCCAACCCTCTTAAGCTTGATATCCTATCTACTTTCGGATGTTGCACAGGGCTCAATCAAGTTTTATTCCATACACACTGTGTACATAACTCAACCTCATAGTTGATCCAGGAAAATCGCCCCATCTGTATGAATGCCTGTACCTCTCACATTTGGAAAAGGTGGGACTGGTAAGATGTACATGGCATCGCAGATGAAAGCAGGTCGCATAATTGGTATCAAGTCATCTCGCTGAAGTAAAACAAAAAGAAAAGAAAATAACCCCCGGATATCCAGCTGTCGTGTTTCCATTCGGTCATAAAGTAGAAGATGGACAGAGACTGCAGTCTTCAGTCCTAGTCATGTTGATTAGGGACATCTACTTTGTATCCACCGCGCCGTCTTGCTCAACGTGGACATGTTCAGTAGATTCGAACGTTTGGACAATATCATTGGGGAACTCGGCACTAGGATTGATCCATAATATCAGCATGCGCCTCGATGGCATAGATCGAACTAGCACCACTTACGTGAAGCCTTTGATGATACTGTATTCATGTCTGATAACGCCGCCCTTCTCCTTGACTGTTGCCTTGGCCCTGACAAGGTATGTAAGTATTAAGGGTATCTGCGATAATGGTCATGCGACACACTTTTCCAGCTCCCCGACGGGAGCATCGGTCTTGAGAGTTATCTAGGAAGAAGATTTTAGTCGGATATTTTTTTTGGATAATAAAGCTAGACTCACGTTGTAAAGAGGCATAATGTGATATGGCGAAATATTCGTCAAAGTGAATGGAGAAAAGAAACGGGAGAGGAAGAAAGAATTTATAGGAGAGAGGTGAGGGGAAGGCTACACCTTATTTTGAAGGTGCGTTGAAGCAGGTACCTTCCAATCACTTTTCTCTTTCTCTCTTCCCCTTGACCTTTTGCCCTTCATGTTGCATATTACCCTGTATGGGTACTCCCGTGCTACTTGACAATGTCGTGATGTACTGGTCTTACACATGTGTCTGACATGGGCCTGTTAGTGGCTTCCACAGTGAACTCGCTCTCTGAAAGCAGGGATTTCCATTGCATCCCCTGCTGAAATGTCTCTATAATTTCCCGTATTATTTTAATCCCGCCTACAACGAATGTCGTAAAGGTGGGAAGATCGCTGTCGATGTAACGATGCGAGGCGATGACATCATATATAAGGAAACGCGGGGCAATATGTCTTGCATAGCTTCAATAGACGGTTCTATAATTTTACTTGATACCCTAGAGTCCAATGTAACCATCTTCTTCACGGGAAGGCATCTTCATCCCGTGCATTCCCTTGTACTTGGGACTTTCTGGAGCCTTCCACCCCTCCAGGACCTTATTATCAGCCAGTTGATATACCTCCACACCCAACGGACGACAAGTGGCTCCCATATCACCTTCTTTATCATCCCAACCCCAATTAGACAAATCACCTGAGATTATCATTAGCATAAAAATAAGACATTCATGTAGCGTGACGATGCCATACCGCCAGGACACGCAGATAGCGCGCAGAGAACATCCACTTCTGCAAAGAACTCAAAGTACTCGCCCGCTTTTGCAGGGGAGGTCTCCATGAAGTACTTTCCATCCTCATCCAAACCCGTCACCTGAAACACATTCAAGACATCATGGACATCTAGCTCCGTCAGGCCATAAGGGACGACAGAACGAGTCAGGTTCGAATGACAGTGGAAGTCAAAGGTCTCTCCGCCCATGAGCAAGTTCACATAAGGATCGCACCGAGTGCCCATCAAGTCATGCACCCGCCCTCCAAACTCCGTAGTCCCAAACACGACCTCCGGGTTGCGCTTCCCATCCGGTCCAAGCACGTCATGCAGCTGCCCGCCGCCCAACGAGTCACCCGTGATTGTTACGAGGGGCCGCAGGTACGGCAGGTTCGACCACAAGCGATCACCCACTGAGACATGGGAGGCGTGGATCTGTCGGGTACGCGCAGCCCACATCCGTTCTCGGGGGTTATTTGCGTTCCAGATATTCAGGTCGCCCACTTGTGGTCCCTTCGGCGTGGTCAGGCGGCAGATGTGGCCGGCGGGGACAACCCACGCTTGGGCGGAGCATGGTCTGATAGTGAATGATCCCTTCGGGATTCGCGCAGAGGGGCTGGAAGCGGTTTCGGAGATTGAGCGGTACAACTGCGAAGTTGCATGAACTCCCGAATCAGGCGGTGCTGTGTAAGCTGGGGGTGGCCGACACACAGACATTATATGCGATTTGCGGGGTGGTATAGAGACTGGAGTTACACAAAGACCTAGTGGATACAGAATAAATTTATAGCTATGGACAATCGGGGGCTTCCCGATGTCAACGGCTTCTGCCCCGCATATGATAGCCGCGGAGGGAGATTACACACTCCGATTTCTAAGGGAGCCCACCTGGACCTGGGCAGCGCTGATATGAGATAGCGCTATCGCACGAAACGTTACCTAGGTCATGTCGTAGACTCAAGGAAATCTCCTCATGGCTCGGAGTGGAGCCAAGTCGCAGTCAGGCAGTCCATATGCAAGCAAAGAGCTAGCAAAAGTAGATGCGCCCAATTTGACACCGTACAATATGCTTATGAGTGCATTGTTCATATAGAAAAATAAAAAATTTGATCATGTTTGATATTCTGATATGTAGCTTCTAGACTCGGTGTCCCTCCATACAGTCACTAAAGGGTCAGGGGCGCAAGTGGTTCATTTCCCGTAAGCCCTTTCTTTTTCAGAAGAGCAGCCCGATCTTCCAGAAATGCTTTATATGGTGCTTTGGGGACAGTCTTATCTTAGTTCTCCCATATTTCGTATCCAACCTCCTCCCAAACGTGAAGTTGACGAGTGAAATTCGCGCTTGGTTTGATTTTTTGCTTCGATTGAACAAAACGCAATACGTCTGCTTGCGGCATGTTGAACTTGCGCATGAGATAGGCGATGATAATCGTCGGCGAGCGTGATATCCCAAGGTTGCAGTGAATCAATATCGCCTCCGAAGGTTCACCGTGTGGCTTGTCATTCAGTTCATGTTTGTGCTCATCGGGCAAGTAGAGCAATGAGGAAAGAGCCGGGGATGCCATTTGGTCGATGAAGTCGCAGATATCACTCATATGGACAAGGAGGTCTTGCGTCGACGAATCTGCACACTGAATCCATTTGTGACGATGCTCTGGGACGCCTGCATTTCTTGTACTGGAACTCCACCATACCCATCGAACATCAGTAAGAGAGACAATTGCGTTAATGTGGTTCTCTTCAAGCATTTCCCGTTTGTGCGATGCCTGAACATTTCCAAGGAAGAGACTCGGGACAATCTGCCTCATCCGGGCCTTATATATCATCTCCCACTTCTCCTTCCAATCCATCTCGGTGATTTCTGTTGTAATTGTATTTATGTGCTACTTCCTGCTCTTCTCCCGCCTTAAAGCTAGTCGACAATAGCTAAGGGTTTAGCATCTCGTGTAAGGTAAAGATGGATGGGTACCTACGTAGCTGGGGTGTCCAATTCTAACCAATATCGAATCCATCCCGGGGTGAAGGAGTGCTGCCTCAGGCCACAGTCAAGGAAATATTGATGCCTCAGGCCATAAGAATCCAGACTAAAGTTTATCTACTCCGCTTCGGCAGAAAAATAATTACTGCTAATTTTTTGGCCGTCGTCAGGGACCGTCCTCTATCTTGATTGCGCCTGCCTTTCTTTCTCTCTAATAAGAGGAGTGAATCTGTCGAGGTATTATACCTCTTTACAGATAGCATGGAGCAGCAGGCGAACAGGGCGCATCGCCCTGCCAAAGAGAAGAAGAAATTTGAGGGTACAGCAAGACCGCTCCAATAAAACTGCAAACTTTCTGCCTTTGAGCCCATGCTAACAATCATCTTTTCTTTACAGGTGCTAATCCGAAAGCATTTGTTACTGCCAGACCTGGAAAGCTCAATAAGCAGGCTGCGCGGTCGCATGATGTATGTATATGGAATTTTTCTGCTGGGTCAATTGATGCTGACCCGAACTTCTCGTCTAGGTCAAAGAAAAGAGACTCCATGTCCCCCTCGTGGATCGTATGCCTGAGGAGGCCCCGCCTGTCGTTGTCGCGATCGTTGGACCCCCGGGAGTCGGTAAAACAACTCTGCTCAAATCTCTGATCCGCCGCTACACCAAGCAAACCCTCAGCTCGCCGCAAGGCCCGTTGACCGTTGTGACGACCAAGCGCAAGCGTCTCACCTTCCTCGAATGCCCGTCCGACTCTCTTGCAGCTGCAATCGATGTTTCTAAGATCGCGGACATTGTGCTTCTCATGATTGACGGAAACTTTGGATTCGAGATGGAGACCATGGAGTTCTTGAACGCCTTATCGACTGCCGGTATGCCGGGTAACGTTTTTGGTATCCTCACCCATCTTGATCAATTCAAGAAACAAAGCACCTTGAAGGACGCGAAGAAGCGCCTGAAGCACCGTTTCTGGAGTGAGCTATACGCGGGCGCAAAGCTCTTTTACTTGTCCGGTGTTATCAACGGCCGTTACCCCGATCGTGAAGTGCACAATCTTTCACGATTCTTGTCCGTTATGAAAAATCCTCGTCCGCTCGTGTGGCGCAACTCGCACCCTTACGCACTTGCAGATCGCTTCTTGGACATTACCCCGCCTACTCAGATTGAGGAAAACTCGAAGTGCGATCGCACAGTCGCGCTCTACGGCTATCTGCGCGGCACCAATTTCCCCTCCCATGGTGCCCGAGTCCATGTTCCTGGTGTTGGTGATCTGACCGTTGCCAATATTGAGGGCTTGCCCGATCCATGCCCAACTCCCTACATGGACCAGCAGATCGCCAAGGCAACAGGAAAGTCGAACAGGCGCAAGCTTGGCGAGCACCAGAAGCTGCTTTTCGCTCCCATGTCTGATGTTGGTGGTGTCCTGGTCGACAAAGATGCGGTTTACATTGATGTCAAGACAAATACCTTTGACCGAGACTCGGACGAGGATTCTGGCGATGAGGAACGCCGGGGTCTCGGAGAGCACCTTGTTGTTGGCCTTCAAGGCGAGCGCAAGATGTTAGGTGAGGCTGATCAGGGTGTTCGTCTTTTCCGTGGCGGCGAGGCCCTCGATAACGCGGATGACGACGAGACCGGCCGGAAAGATCGACGCCGCGCCCGCGTGGCCGTACCCGAACAAGACGACATGGATATCCCCGAAGGATTCGATAGTGAAGAGGAGGCCGATGAAGATATAGACGAGGATGATGTGACAGACGACGAAGGCGAACTCGACATGTCTGCACCTGCGGACTTTGAAGCCCGCTTTAAGGCCAAACAGAACGGAAATGCTGGCGGAGAGGAAGAGGACATGGCTTTCGCTGACAGTGATTCTGACCTGGGTTCCATTTCTTCTGTTTCAGACCAGGAACTCGAGAGCGGTGATGGAGACGAGGATGAGGATGAGGATCAGGATGAGGATGATGAAGATGAGGAGGGCAATGTTCGATGGAAGGAGAATATGCTCGCCAATGCCAAGTCTCTTCACGGAAAGCGCCCTGCTTTCCGAGTCGCTGACCTGTCAAGAATGATGTACGACGAGTCGATCACTCCACTTGATGTCGTGAAGACATGGCGCGGTGAAGATTCCGACTATGAGGAAGACGAGGAAGATAGAACCGCTGACGACGAAGGCGAGGACTTCTTCAAGAAAACAAATAACGAGAAAGAAGACCAAGCCGACTTCCGCGCCGTTCCAGAGTACGACTACGATGAGCTGGAGCGGAAGTGGCGGGACGAGGAATTGCTCGAATTAATCAAACTCCGCTTTATCACTGGCAAACTGTCCGGTGGTGCCTCAGATGACGAGGATGGTGATATGGACGAGGACGATGAGGATGAGGATGAGGGTGACGGTGACTACGAAGATTTGGAATCTGGCGAAGTTTTCAACGGTATCAAGGAAGACGGTGACGAAGATGAGGATGAGGAAGGCGATGGTGAGCCCGAAACAGCTGCCGACCTGGAAGCTGAGCGTGAGCGAAATGCCAAAAAGAAGGAAGAGTTAAAGCTACGTTTCGAAGAAGAGGACCGCGAAGGTTTCGGAAAAGTTCAGGACGGGACGCATGATGGTATTGATGGCGAGTTTGGCGAAGACGATTGGTACGATCTTCAGAAAGCCAAGCTGCAAAAGCAAGCAGATATCAACCGCGCCGAATTCGAGACACTCGACCCCGCCTCGCGCGCCCGGGCTGAAGGTTACAAAGCCGGCACGTACGCGCGTATCGTCCTCGAAAACGTACCTTACGAATTTGTCTCCAAGTTCAACCCTCGCTTCCCTGTCATCGTTGGTGGTCTCGCACCTACTGAGGACCGATTCGGCTACGTGCAGATCCGGATCAAGAGGCATCGCTGGCACAAGAAGATTCTCAAGAGCAACGATCCGTTGATCTTCTCACTTGGCTGGCGTCGATTCCAGACCATGCCTATCTACAGCACCTCCGACAGTCGGACGCGAAATCGCATGCTTAAGTACACACCTGAGCATATGCACTGCTTCGCTACGTTCTACGGTCCTCTTGTCGCTCCCAACACTGGTTTCTGCTGTGTGAACTCGTTCTCGAACAAGAACCCTGGTTTCCGCATTGCCGCCACTGGCGTTGTTCAGAGCGTGGATGAGCACACAGAAATTGTCAAGAAGCTCAAGCTCACTGGTTACCCCTACAAGATCTTCAAGAACACGGCCTTCATCAAGGATATGTTCACCTCTGCGCTGGAAATTGCCAAGTTCGAAGGTGCATCCATCAAGACTGTGTCTGGTATTCGCGGTCAGATCAAGCGTGCGCTATCCAAGCCAGACGGCTGTTTCCGTGCTACATTCGAGGACAAGATCTTGATGAGTGATATTGCCTTCCTGCGCGCTTGGTACCCCATCAAGCCCCACCGCTACTACAACCCTGTGACCAACTTGTTGGACCAAGTCGATGGCGAAAAGGGTGATAGTGGATGGCAAGGCATGCGCTTGACCGGCGAAGTCCGTCACGCTCAGGGCATCGCCACTCCCAAACTCAAAGACTCGGCTTACAAGCCCATCGAAAGACAAACCCGTCACTTCAACCCGCTCCGTGTGCCAAGACAGCTGGCCGCCGAGCTCCCCTTCAAGTCGCAGATCACCAAGATGAAGGGCCACAAGGACCAGACCTACATGCAGAAGCGTGCCGTTGTCCTCGGAGGCGAGGAAAAGAAAGCCCGTGACCTCATGCAGAAGCTCACTACCATGCGCAACGAGAAGCAGGCCAAGCGATCCGCCAAGCAGGAGGAGCGCCGCAAGGTCTACCGCGCTAAGGTGGCTGACGGTCTGGAGAAGAAGGCCGAGCGCGAGAAGAGAGAGCGCAATGATTACTGGCGCAAGGAGGGCAAGAAGCGCAAGAACCCGGATGAAGACTCCGGTGGCCGTGGACGCGGCAAGAAGCGCAAGTGATCTATTCTTTGTTCTTGGACATGCCTTAAACTACTTGGGTCTTTTGCATAGATGGCGTTTGGACCCAAAACTTGTACCTACACATGTTGGACGTTTATTTATATCAAAACTATTTCATGAGTGCACTACTGTTTGCCCATACTTTCTACCCGTTGCCTCCTTCCATGCTGTCTATACTATACTTTCTTTCTATACTAATGGCCAGACTACTTCTCGCAGTCGGTTGATCTCCGATGCTAGAACTAGAATATCTGGCTCACATCAAAATTGGAGCACCTGAAGCACCCGACAGTTCCCAAAACGGGAAAGTTCTAAACAAACCTAGGATTTAAATGTTCATATTACTGGATCTGGTTTAGTAGTTGAGGAACTAATCCTCTTTCCCATTCGCCCGACACCACAACCGGTAAAACAGCCCTAACTCGCAAAGCTTCATACTCTCTATCCATTGCTCATTCCACAACAAATGTAGTAGCACTCGCGGTCCTGTCTATATTATCCTCGCGAATTCCTACTGTCTTCGATTTCCAATTTCCCAACTACATCTATTTTCCATCAAGCTCCATCAAAGCTTTCTTCATTCATCAATGATACATTTCCCCCAAATATCAAAAAACCATTAGAAGAAATGGCTCCTATCCAAGACCTCAACGACAACACGCTCTCTCCTCAGGCTGACAAGCAATACGTCGCTGACATGAAGAAAGAGCTCTTTATCACTAAACTGCTCCTCGGGCTCATCGTGGTCGTCTGCACCCTGTCCTTTGGGTACACAATGTAAGTCCATAAGCCCACCATATATCTAATGATCCAAAACAAGAAATATTCATACCTTTATTAGCTACGCCACGGTTAAGCCCAAGTATGAGGAGAAATGGAAGCCGAAGCTTCGGGACTGCAAGGAAAAGTATACGGACTGGAAGGAGAAGATCACCTGGCATGCCAAAGAACCAAGTAAGTTACTCCTCTTAGCAAAGTGCACTCGTCCTTGATGCTAACTTTTCTTCTAGAAGCGCCAGCGCCTGCTCATGTGGCTCGCCATGTCTCTGAGGCTCCGGATGTCAACCAGATCGTGAGTGATCTGACTCCGGGGTACACGAAGATGTCAACGGCGGGCATCGTCTAGGGGAGTGTGTCTTTGTGGCTCAGTGCAGGTAGAGGTATCAAAGGCCTGCCAGACTGGTCCCTGGATTTGATCCGGGGTACAGAGGAAAGGGCTTCTTTTGTTTTTCATTTCTTCATTTCTTCATTTCGGACTTAGATCCGTCTTTGCGTTCCCTCAGCTTATTCTTACTTTCCGCTGAGTCGGTTTTCATCTATATAGGTACCCCTGTTGACTTGTCTGTCATCATTGGAGTTGAGCCATTGTTTCGGAGTATATTTCCCATGACTCCATGATGTTGAATATTAATTATATCATTAATGAGAACTCCAAAATTTGATTTCCTATATGTTTTCTTCACTTATTATAGTCTCCTAGATGTTTTTGTAGTCCTTAGTATATATATGTACTTCGAAGTATACCCCATCAAACAAGCCCACCAAATCCCACCAAACCCACTCGCAGCCATCTTCAACCATCTTCACGTCTAAATGACCGTATACTGACGATTTGACAATAATATCTTTCCACAGAAACTCATTGAACCAGATAAAATTGGTCGAGTACCATCCACGTGACCGCGCCTCACACGCGTGTCCCAAGACTAGTAACCCTTCCCTCTACCCGTGGACCATCTACACAACGGGATTTATTTTGGTGCTAGCATACTGTGGCGCATCTATATTCGAAAATTAGTTCTTAGCTACTGCTCGCATTCTTTTATTCAACCCTCTGTTGGGCCCTTCAGGATCAGAATCACAGAGAGACCCATTTGCCGCCTCGTGCTGTCGAAACCCTTGCGCGCGTGCTGGTCGATCGCCACTCGATCGGGCAGATGCTTCTGGTTCCCACAGTGCTCCCACGCGTCTTATTGAGATCTCGACTGTTAGTTGCATCTAAATCACTTGGTATCGGATCTTCCTGGACCCAACTCTGGATGCGGTGACTCGGCGAGACAGGACATGCGTGTTGAGATCGTGCGACCGGTAAAATCGCGATTAAAGCTAGGTCGCGCGTATTTGCCGATTATCGCTATCCCTGCATCTTTTAGTCTTCCGCACCCCACCCTTGATCATGAATGACGGTCGCGATGCTGTGTTTAATCGCGGGGTGCTCCATGCGGAGGCCAGTGCGAACACCCACTCTATGAACAGCGCGACGTCTCTCGTGCCTCACAAACCAATGCCTTCGGCCAAGATGAAATCCACACAATTGCCGCAACCATTGTCACTACAAATAGATGGCTTGAACGCCGTTACCCTCGCTCACGGCGAGGGTAACCCGAACCCAGCCTATATCGAATCGTCGGAGCGCGGCAGCGATACATCGGGCGATGGCCGACGACCAGACCTTTCCGCTAGCACCGTTACAGATTCTCTTTCCAGCATTCCTTCATCGTCGACCAATGGTTATAATAGTCAGTCGACAGAGTTCGGTAACTCTCATACATTGAATGGACATACATCGATACCCTGGTTGGACGAAGAGTTATTGGAAACCCAACTCGCCCCGCCCATGCAGCCGGTGAATGGAGGTGCCTCAGTAGATCGATGGCAACCCTCATTATCGCCGATCAAAGCCGGCAATGTTTCAATATCACCGCCTGCATCGCCAAAGCATTCGCGCACAAGGTCGAACTTTGATGCTCGCTTGGCCCCAAGCCAGAAACGGACAGCGGCCGGCGACTTCAAATCCACGTTAGATCCCCCAGCTCACAGTGCCGACGTGAATCGAGCTGCACGACGACGTTCGAAGAGTACGGGCTCGTCAGCTTATGGAAGCAGGATTGCACAGGTAACGCGCTCACTCGCTCCGCTCACTCAAGAGTCTATAGCTCATTTATATTACCCAGTTGTCGGTCCATATCCGTACACGTCTATCGTATGCAGCCGCCAAAGTAGAACAGGCCCGACAGTCGCGTGAAGCTACCCCTCAAACCGCATTGCGAACACACAACAGCAGGTCGCCATTGAGCCCGCCGGCACCAAGTGATACCGCATCATTACCGGCGGGAAACTCCAGGCCTTTTTCACAAGATTCACAAACATCCTCCAACGGAAACTCCCATCATTTCCCGAGCCATAACCGCTCGCGATCAGCATTCTCATCTAATCAATTCCTTCCAATTCCCAAGCTAGCACCGCCTGTGGATATCATCTCATCAAATGGTCATAACCAGCGCCGTCGACCGAATCCTAACGCAATCTCCAAACCTTCAAACCACAGCCCTATCTCCCGCCACCGACGCCACCATTCACACCAAGAGAACGGACTCATCCGACCACTCGACGGACAAGCAGTCCTAGGGCCAGAGACGCCCTCGCTTTCGTCATCTCACACATACGCACCGACATCCACACCGAACGGGTTCTACAGACCCCGCACTCACTCCCAAAACACACTGATGGAACAAGACGCCATCGAAACCCTGATGTTCATGTCCAGCCCTGAGAACTCGGGGTATCGTTTCAGTCCTCGCCCGCTGCAACCAGCGAGCACGCAAAGCAGCCTGAACGAGTCGACCAACGCTTCCAGCAATGGAGGGTATCACGATGGTAGCCAGGGCTCCCAAAGCTCCGAGTCTCACAATGGTCATGAACTCCGAAGAAAGCCAGAGCTAGAAGCTCATGCTGGTGATGATATTGATCGCCTTTTGGATCAAATGGATAGTGATAGCGAGGATGAGGATCGGTACGCATCGTATCGATCTGGAATTAATGGTGCGCATCCATTCAGAGGGCACCAACATCCGAGGTAATTGCATTGTTTTCTTCTAGGATTTCAGGATTTTGCATGGGACACATGGTGGGATCATGTCATGTACATCGCTTTAGCATTGTGGGGTTCTTTTCCAAAAAGAATTACTGGCGTAGCCATGCTCAAATCATAGGAAGCGTACAATACGACTTCAATTCATTTGCTGTGATGAAAATTCAGACCGGGCATCTATGTGTGCCTGAAATAGTTAATAATATGCAATGTCCTTCGCTCTATATGATCCTGCACCCGAAAATACTATGATTAAAATACTTTTTGTCGCGTCGCCAGTTGATATGCGCTGTACATCATTTAATGTGCGAGCTCCTATCATCACATTAGTCTCCGGCTGTGTACATTAATTGAGAAGGTCACTTACACTTGCGAGCTTGCTTCTGGCTCGAATCGTGGGTCCATATAAAGCCAGCACCCAAGGGACCAGGGTTAGAGCAGCACCCTGTTTCAATCTAGTCAGTCGACTTTCTTCTCATGAGGGCTTAATCGCCATAACTTACAAGTCCGCCCAGCAGACTTGACGCCTCTGGATAACCAAGGTTGGTGAACATGGCATTCGTAACCAGTGGAAAGATACCACCGAGCAAGTTCCGGCCTATTAAGCAAGATGTCAGCAAGCATATACACAGACCTTCATCAAGAGAAATGCGCAAGTGAAATACTTACAGCAAGACTGCGCCGCAATCGCCGAACTCGCATACCGATGATAAGTATCAGCGAGATAATTAAACGTGGCAAGATAAATAGAAAAGATGCCCATAGTAGCACAGCCAACCGCCATAGCAGGCACGATCCAGTGAACGGATGTGAAAGAACTCCAACCGAACCAGAATAGGCCAATAGGCAAAAGCACAGACTCGACACAGACGAAATAAAGCCTCCCTTCGGGAGAAGTGGTGTGTTTACCGAAGCGCATGGCAATGCGTCCTTGGTAGATGCTGATGATTGTGATAAGGATGACGCCGACGCACATCGAGGTAAAGACGGCGCCGGTTTGCTCGATCGTGAAGTTGTGGTTTGTGCGGAAGATGAGTGGCACCGAGCTGAATTGGAGGTAGAGAACTGCCCAGCTGAAGGAGACCCACAGGGAAAAGAAGAAGACCACTGGTTCGGTGAGGAGCATGCCTGGATTGGGACGTTAGTTTTTGCTTATTTTTGCTCTTGTTGTCTTTTGTCTTCAGGGTGGACGTGGACTTACGGAATGGCCGGTACAGCGAGATCTGGATCATGGTTGCGATCGATGCTCGTTGCTCGTCACTCTTGACCTTCCATCTGATCCGACGAATGCACTTGTCTTCAGACCCTTCTTCGCTGGATACCATTACACCGTGGTGGCCAGCTTCTTCGAGTTGCTCGTAGTACTGGTTCAACTTCGCAGCTTTGCGGCTAAGCAGCACGCTGCCGCGCGTTTCTTTGAAGAAGAAGTAGATGACAATGACAAATGCGGCGGACACGATGGCGTGCGAGTAGAACACCCAGCGCCATGTGGTGTGGCTGACGATTACGCCGGAGATCAGCGGTGCCAGGCCAGTACCGAACAATGCAGCTCCAGAGAAGAGCGCCATGGGCGTGTTACGGTCTTGGGCGTGGTAGATGTCACTGATCACGCCGCCAACCATGGTGGAGAATGTTGCTGTGAGGGTTCAAGTCAATATCTGGTGAGCGTTGAATCGGGGAATCGACCATTCGGGGCTATACATACATCCGCCCACGCCTTGGAAGAAACGAGCTACAAGCAATCCAGCAAAGGACTGCGTGCCTCCACAACCAATTAAACTAGCTGTTCGCATACCATAGTCAGTATATGACAAGTAACACAGCGAAGCATGGTATACATACCAACGAAAAGAATCCCACTGGCGATAAAGATCGGCCTCCGTCCATTAATCTCGGAGAAGGGAGCCAGCACCATCGGCGCCAGAGCAAACCCACAACAGAAGACCGTGATACTCAAATTGTACACAACAGTACTGATCCCCCAGAGCTCAGTCAATTCCTCCGATGCAGGACTGACCTCGCCCGCGGCATAACCCGCTAGCGCAGTAACCGCGCAAGCGATATAAGTCATGATCGACTTGCGCCATTGTGGCCATAGAAACGGAGATATGTATTTCTCTAGACTAGGCGCTTCTGGTGGTGCTGACTGAGCGAGACCGGGAGGTAAAGTAATGCATGGGGTCGGTAAGGGTGTGTCTAGCTCTAAATACCGGAATTCGATATCTTGGGACCCGCATAGAGACTCAGGGGTCTCAGCCCGGTTTTCTATGCCTGTGGGTTGCTGTTTAAGTGACTCAGGCGTTGTAGATGCCATGTAGTAAGTCGGGACGATGGTTGACAGGAGTTTTCTAGTTTTTTACGGACTTTTATGATTTATAGGCTAAGCATCTTAGGGCGTGGAGTTCCACCGAAAGAAAATTGGAGAAATGGTCAAAGGCCAGGGTATGAGTATAATCCCCAATTTGATATATCATTCCAATCACATTGCTTCTGGACTGATGTGGAGTATGTTGATCTCGTCTATACGGCCCTTTGCAGTTAATGCTATGTTGTACGTTAAATTTGATGTTGGGAATCCTGCAAACTCCCAAGTTGGGCTGTTGGAACTGATATCGGAGTCATACCGCCTACTGAATATGGCCTAGCTCTCTTTTCTTTTTTGAAGGCTTTTCACTTCATAGTTATGTACATATACAGAGTATATATGTATCATACAAGACTCGAATATTTATCTCAAAGCTAGGCAAAACAAGAATAAAATGAGCTGTAACATAATGTGAGATTCGTAATACAGGGCATACTTCTCCGCAGAAGCTTAGGCGTCTATCGTATGGCAATTCTCCAATTCTCCAATTCGGGGAAATTCGGGGAATGCGGCATTCGCACCGATTCGATAGAGCTGATTAACAATCAACATAGAATCGGCCGAGTGAATAGTACACGGCTATACAAGGCACAAGATCGTGATATTACAACCGAAACAATTCGACCTGTGTGTTGTGCATGTGGATAGGAAAAAGGGAATATGCCAGAGTCAGACTCACCGGAGTTGCGCCACAATCCCCCGAGATCACACTTTCCACGTCATGGCCACCAATGTTGAATAGCAAGCGCTATCAGTGTCACCGATGCCCGAGGGCATTTGCTCGTCTAGAACATCTTCAAAGACACGATCGCTCACGTATGTCTTCTAGAACTTGGATAGAATACATCTATTACCCCATCTAATACCCCACAGATACCAAAGAGAAACCGTTTGTCTGCGTTCAATGTCCCAAAGCCTTTACACGCAAGTATGATATGTAATCCAACATTTAGGTACATCTTTAGATACTCACAGCTCTAGGGATCTGCTATCCCGTCATGAGCGTCTCTCACACAACCCCGACGACAGTCCAGCGAACAATCAGACACACACGCCCTCACCCGCGAATGCTCCCTTGGACGGGTTAGATTACTTGGCATCTACAGTCACAAAGAACGGCCAATCTAATCCCAGCGCTTTACAACGGCGCGATGACCATTTCCCAGAATTGTCACCGTCCGTACACCGCCCAATGCTGGGTGGTCAGTTGGCTAGCACAGACGCTCCCCCTGAAGCACCCAGTACCCCATCTCCAGGCCCGGATTTTGGATATGCTCTAGGTGGCTTTGGACCGGGATCGTATCATGACTTTACCTCGTTTTTGGATAGCGTCCCCTTGCCAAACCATCCGTTCTCGCCGGCGTATCAGCCACTCCCGCTATTCCCACCCTTGCACTTTTCCCCGGTTCCGGACTATGATCGGTCGTCTGATAGAGGGACTCTGACCGAAAATACCCCTTCAACTCCTTCGAGTTCCGTACTTCCCAGACATGACGCTCAGTTGCCCTCACTCCAGCCGGAGGGGTATCACATCTCCCCCACGGCGCGCCAGCCCACGGGATTCGTACCGGTCACGGCTCAATGCCGGGAGAAGTTCTTGGATATGTTATCCGACTATGCCAACGTGGTCCCAGATCCATCGCTACCATCTCGACATGCGCTGTCCCGGTGCTTGACCGGGTATGTAACCGGGTACCATGAACACTACCCAATCGTGCATATTCCGACCCTCGATGTACAGTCCATGGCATTACCGCTCTTCCTATCTATGGCGGCATTGGGCGCACGGTACTGCCGCGAGCCAGATACTAGCATGCGTCTCTATCAGATTGCCAAACCGGTGACTTTGGAACATGTTCGCCGGGTCTTCCAGTCGGGCAAGCTGCCCTCGATCAACGCCGCCGACGACATTGATACCCTAGAAACCCTGCAAGCTTTATTATGTCTGACCTCGATATCGTTATGGTTTATCAACAACCCCCCATACCACGAGGCGCTGTCGCTTCGCAGTATAATGGAAATGCTCATCCGAAAAGGAGGGGTTAACCGGTTACCTGAGAATGACGGGTCATGGAGTGGCTGGATACGACGGGAATGTGTAAAGCGCACCAAACTAATTGTCCTCTGTTTCTTCAACATCCAAACCATCGTCTTCGACGTCCCACCAATGATTCTTACGGAAGATTTCACCCTCGATTTACCCTGCACAGAAAAAGAATGGCAAGCCCCGCGCGCAGACCTCTGGCAGGCAGAGCGCATGAAGAGTCCCGGCGAACCAAAGTTCCAAGATGCTCTTTCCGCCCTGTTTGGGCCAACCAGCAATGTAGAACGATTCTCCTCGCTCGGCGGCTACGTGCTAATCCACGCGATCCTGCAAGACATCTGGCTAATGACAAAAGCGGGCCGACTGCCCGTGTCACGACGGAACCGCTTCACCCCATCGATGACATGCACACCGGAGCTCGTGCACGTCGAACAAGCACTAGAACGCTGGTGCCAGTGCTGGGAGCGCAACCAAGAATCCTCCGTTGACCCACTCAGCCCGAACGGCCCGCTATCCTTCACATCAGCAGCCCTGCTTCGACTAGCCTACATCCGACTCAACGCAGACTGCGGCTCAGCTC